ATCTTATAATTTTCATGTTTGTAAGGCACTCCGAGACAAGAAGGAGGTGTTGAATATGGGTATTATGTCATGTGATACATGAGGGACATCATTGAAGATACGACCCCTTTTTTTTTGGTTACATTGGAGGAAAGAAACCCCACTGGGGTTCGATCCTGGGTGCCACGGGGGGAAGGGGGAATCCACCACCACTGTGGTGGGAACCCATTGGCGAAGATACGACCCCTTCATTCCGCACTAAGGTACTGTTTTTATTTGTTACATTATAAATATTAGTATGCTTTTAGAAATCTGCTGATGTGAATTTTTGATGTGGCAATTAGTATAAATTGTTGTTACGTTGGCAAATTTCTTAGGAGTTTGGTTCAATGTTGTGTTCTCATTTGGTTGTTAAATATGTTGTTACTTCTTTTCTCTTGAATTACTCTTGTGTTCTCATTTGGTTGTAAGGAATGAATAATAAGTGTTTGTTGGTTGTTTGGTGCTTTTAATTTTTATGTATTTCTTTGCTCATTTGGTTGTGAGCTATTCTAATAAGTGTTTGTTGTCTCTTTTAAATTTTGATGGGTTGTTTTGGTGTGCAAAGTTTGATGCTAGCTTTCTGTAAATTTCAGTATGCAACAAATAAGAAATCATATTACACCCAGGAACAAATCGATGTGGTGCGAAATAAATGGGGAGAGTTTATGCTAAACCAAATGGATTGATCAAGTGTTGTTGGACCTCAAAATATACTCGTCTATGCTGAGCTTATCAATGTTGGTGTTCTAGCCTATATGCTCTTTCTTTTCCAGCTTTTAATGTGCGGCAATTTCCTTATTTCTATCATGTAGTTATTACTACAAATGAAGTATTATGTAATGCTTTATTTTGAAATACGATGACTTATTTTTATTTTTATTTAGGATTCCAAGAGATTACTTGCAGGGGAACAAAAATATGCATTTGGTACATTGCTTGATTTAATTTGTCTATAATTCTTAAAATTGATGCCTTAAAAGTTTATGCTAGTTTGGACAAATGAATACGTATAATTCTTAAAACTGATGCTTTCAAAATGTGAGACATCAAAAACCTAGATTCAACTTAAGTGTATTACACATATGGCATCACCATTAGTAAAGTGGGGGAAATATATAATTAGTGAAGTAAATCTTGTTAAAAGGCATCGAAAATATGTATAAAACGATGCCCTTAACAATTAGACACTACAATGGACCAAAAGAACTAATGCGAAATATCATAAAGACATCGGATAATATAAGACAAAGGAAGTGGTTCTTCTACAAAGGCATCACAACAATAAAGACACCACTGCTTATGATATGAATAAATGTGGGAGCAAATTTTACTCCATAAGCAATAACCCACTACTCATGCATCCTAAATTTGGGGGAATAGAGAAAATCAAGTAACATGACATCCATTATCCTGAGTCATTGAGAAAAATGAGGAATGTGGAAGTTGGAGCCCAAGACTCCACTGCCTATAAAAGGCCAGTTAACACAACATCCCATAAAGAAGAGAAAATCAGGTACAATACTATTCTAAACTTTCTTGGGATTATACTCCTACTGACTGGAGCGTCAGAGTGTTTTCTTGCAAGGTACCCCCCTCCTTCGCTGATGGCAATCGAAATGGTGTCCGACTTCTCAACTTGGAAATCATATTACTTGTTGGAGGACCCGAAATTTTCTGCTCCAACAATAAACTACAACATTAATGAAAATACCGATGTTAAACATGTTATAGACATCCGAAAATAAGAATTAGGTGAAGTGGTTCTTATGAAAAGGCATCAGTGGTATACAAACAGCCGTTGTAGTTGTAGTCAAAGACATCGGAAGACAACGAAATTTGGACGAAAGTCAATAATTGAAGCTCATTAAAGCATCACTTTGGTTGAAGACACCAATGTTGTTTCTGTAAAAGGCATCGGGTTTTCCCCGATACCCTTTACACCCCCTTTAGCATCACCTTACGAGGCATCAGTATGGGATAGTAAAAGACATCGATTTCTCCCTGATACCTATTAGCATTTTTGTAGTAGTGTATCCAGTTCAAACTACTAGTTTTGAATCATGAGAAGACTAAAGAGTTATTAAAATTTAAAATTCGTGAGCATAGGAACAACGATGTGGTGCTACAGGGCCTTCTCAACTGACATACTAACCTTGCACCTTTGGATAGCGATCCTATTAATGAGCTACTAATCAAGATTACAATTCTACAAGAGGTACACCCAAAGTCTTAAAAGGTTTTTCAACAATGGGATTTATACCATGTTTTAAGGATGCTAACATCCTCTTCGACCGGGTATTTAAATTCATTTTTTAAATCTCAATTAACTATATATATATTATATTAGGGTTACCCTTAATTATATTAACAAACTGTGTTTTGTTTATTTTTGCAGCATTTTAATGTGAAACTGTCACATTTTGGCATGAAAAGTTTGGGGCACAAATGTGTGTCTGCTCTTAATTTGAAAACTTAATTATATAGATGATATGAAGTCACAGTTCTAAATTCTTTGTTAGTCCAATGTTGAAAATTACAGTAGTTTAAACATGTTTGATCCACAAACTTTTTGTGGTCAACGTATGAAGTACGCTTTATTTTACTTGGAGGTGGAGATGAAATTTGGTTTCTTAGCTATGTGAAATATGATCATGGCAAGGATGAGAACAAACTTTTATATACTTTTGCAAGCCTTCTATATGTCGTTCTTGGATTCAAGATCCCCTTCTTACATGAATGGCAAGCCCTATTTATAGGGAATTTGTACAAGACAATTCTAAGCCGATCACCTCGGCTCGGAGCCTAGCCATTTATGTCACACCAAGCCATCCTGTCAGGTGATGGATGGTCGGGGCTCGTTCACGTTTTCCTCTTATGATGGCATTACGCGTCTTGTAAGGAGGCGGGCGTGAGCAGGATAGTCTATCACGAGCGGCCGGAGTCCCATCTAGTCAGATGGTGGGTTAAGTGGTTTACACGTGACCTTGGAGAGGACAAAGGGGGCTTGTCTCAAGAGGCGGTGAATCTGTTGTCAGGGGAAGTCTTGTCGTCAATGTGGCTGATCCGTAGCCTTTCGTGTTTCCCAGGATGGTACCGAGGTCGTGGTGGAGAAGGGTCCGGATGGTCATTTTTGCTAAGTGGCTTAGGGTTTAGGGTTTAGGGCAGACGGACTCGGTATATACCGAGCGTCAACAAAACCAGCAAATGTTTTCCATCACATGAATCTGAGAAAGAAATGGGTGTGAGAGAAAACCATTGTGTAAAATAGGCCCTAGGCTCTAAAAGCCTACAGAAGGGGGGGGGGGTGAAGTATATGGTAATAACCTATCTTTTTAAAATTTAAGCCCAGCTAAGAATTAATAAGTAGAAACATAAACACATGCACAACCATGGTGTTTAATTACTTAGCATCTGCAGTGAGTAAATGGAACTGACTGCATGAAACTGGATTGATACAAACGACACCACGTATTAATACAAACAGAAACCCTTGTGATTTTGGATCAATACAGTGCAACGCACTATTGATCCACGTTAGTGTACTGATGTCATTCGAACAAGATGCAGCAAGTATAACTAATGACAACATGAATATATACATACACAAAGATTTGTTAACCCAGAAACCTAACAAAGGTGAAAACTGGGGGACCAAGCTAGTAAGATAATACACTATTAATGAGAAGTAAAAGATACAAAGGGAGTTGAGCTCCATCTACACTCAGTAGGCAGCTAACTATCTAACCTTCTAGCAAAGCACAATATTAGCTCATCTACACACAATAGGCAGCTAACTATCTAACCTTCCAGAAAAGCACAATCTTTACTTCTCAGCAGCAACTTCTCTTCCAGTCTTTGCATGAGCATTCAGCTCCAATTGCAACAGACAAATCTTCATAGTTTGCAACAGCACCAAGCTCCAAGTTGCAGAAGGTATAATGATATGAAGTGAGTTATGGTTTCAGATTTTCATCTTTCTTAATCACAAAGAGTGATTAAGCTAGACAAATGAAACCAAGTGTTGTGATGATTAAACTAGAAGTAATGAACTTGAAGCATATAGTTTAAATCAATCATAACAACAATGAAACAAAAGACTCAGCCGAAATCAATGTGAATATACTTGGAGGAATTTTATGTGTATGCAATCCTACTCATACTCTCAAGTAATTAACAATGGCCGAAATAATAAAATAGTTTTTGAATGCTCAAGAGCATATATAAAATGATTTCGAAAACATAGAACCAGGTCTGCATCAAAGATGCAAATTTTCTGTTTTTACATGTCTAGCATGAATGGTTCTTCAGAGGACTAATAAAAATGAAGCAAGTTCAAATGAACTTCTCAACCTCTTCCTTAGGTCTAGCTTAGTATATATAGAGACTTGATTTGAATGAAGAGGGGATATTTTGAACCACATATACATTGGCGGAACTAGCATATGGGCTAGAGTGGGCTCTAGCCCAGGGACCTTTTTTATTTAAAAAAAAAAAAATTAGATGTGGTTGTATTTATGAGGGCCAGCGTGGGTTACGTGGCCAATGCATTGGACCATTGGTGGCTGGCTGTTGTCTTTTTATTATTTTATTATTATTTTTTTCAATGTCTATTTTTTGTGTGGTTTATTTCCTATTCAATAAGGTATTCTAGTTTCCCATTCATTGAATAAAGTATCCTAGTCTGATATGATGAAGTATCCTATTCCTAGTCTAGTTTGTCATACGCAACTTTATAAGTATCTTAGTCAGTCTAATAAAAAAGATGAAGAAGACAATATTCATATTTATGAAACTTAGCCTTAGCAGTCCCAAAAGAATATCTGCAGCGTTTTGTATTCTGTGCTACCAAAGTCGAGTTCATCGTCAACACGCGTAATAAAGGTATCTAACTCTCCACAGTCTCGAATTTTTATTTTTTTTCATTGATTTGTTTAGAATAAAGTAAATTGTTTTGTTTTTTATATGTGTTATTAGATTCAATGTCACATCAGAACCAAGCAAGTAAAAGAGCAAAAACTATTCATTCATACTTCAAGAGAAAAAATGATGGTGATAAATTAGACAATGATAAGGCTTCTACATTCAATGATAAGGCTTCACCATCAATTGAATCACCTCATCACACATCTCCCATAGTTGAACCCAACCAATTTGATGTTGCTTTTTTGGAACGAGACCCTGGGAAACGTATTCAAATATCTGAATACCATATTAATCAACGTGATGAGGTTCGACGTGCTTATATCAAAGTTGGACCTTACCAACCAAAATTATCAGAATATCCAAGGTCTCAGTTTGGGTCGCAATATCGTCGATTTCAATATTCTTGGTTCTCCCAATTTCCATGGTTAGAATATTCCCCTTCAGAAGATAAAGTCTATTGTTTTCCATGTTTTGTTTTTGGTAATGGTCATCCTGCATTCACTACTGAGGGTTTTAATCATTGGAAAAGAGTTAATGATGGAAAGAATTGTGTATTTTTGACTCATGTTGGAGGTCCATCTTCATCACATAAGACGTGTGAAAGATGTATGGAGGATTTGATGAACCCATCTCAACATGTCGACAAAGTTATTAATCGACAATCAAAGGAAGACATTTTGAAAAACCGATTACGGCTCAAGACAACGATAGAGTGTGTTCAGTGGCTTACATATCAAGCATGTGCTTTTAGGGGTCATGATGAATCTTTGGATTCTAAAAATCATGGAAATTTTATTGAAATGGTCAAGCATACAGCAAAGTTTAATGATGAGGTGGCTGGAGTTGTTTTAGAGAATGCCCCAGGAAATGCAAAGTATACCTCACCCAAGATTCAAAAGGAGATTTTAAATATTCTCGCAAACAAAGTGAGAAAAAAAATTCGTGAAGAAGTTGGGCATGCTGCTTTTTGTATCCTTGTTGATGAATCACAAGATACGTCAAATAGAGAGCAAATGGCTATTGTTTTAAGATTTGTTGATAGTGATGGTTTTCTACGTGAACGTTTTTTTGACATTGTGTGGGTTGAAGCCACTACTGCATCAACACTTCAAAAAGAGATCAAGAAAGTACTTGATCTCCATGAATTATGTATTGATAAGATGAGAGGTCAAGGATATGATGGTGCTAGTAATATGCGGGGTGCATGGAATGGGCTACAAGCATTATTTCTTAGAGATTGCCCATATGCATATTATGTACATTGTTTTGCTCATCAACTACAGTTAGCATTAGTTTCAACATCAAAAGAAGTGGCTACAATTTGGTTATTCTTTTCATCATTGAATTCAATTGTCAATGTCATTAGGGCTTCTCCAAAACGTCATACTGAGTTACAAGTTGCTCAATCAATAAATATTGTAGAGCTGTTGATTGCTGGTGAACGAGGGATTGGTAGAGGAGCTAATCAAATTGGTACCTTGCATCGACCTGGAGCTACTCGGTGGAGTTCTCATTACGATTCCGTTTGTGATTTAATAGAAATGTATGATGCAGTTTGTACAGTTCTTGAGAATATAAAGGAGGATGGATCCACACGCTCCTTACGTGAGGAAGCTACTGGTGGATACAATGCGATTAGGCAATTCGAATTTGTATTCATCTTGCATCTATTGAAAGAAATTATGGGTCTCACAGATATCCTTTGTCGAGAACTACAACATAAGTCTCAAAACATTGTGAATGCTATGAACCTAGTTGGTACAACAAAAGATGTCCTTGGAAAATTGAGATTAAATGGTTGGGAAACTTTTATTAGGAAAGTAGATTTGTTTTGCAGGAAACATGACATTGATATGCCTGATATGAATGCTCAATATAAAGTGGGAACAGGCCGTTCTTGTCAGCAAAAGGACAATAGTACAGTTGAGCATCATCACTTTGACATATTCAATGATGCAATAGATTTTCAATTGGCAGAGTTGAACAGTAGGTTCAGTGAAGGGGCAATGGAACTTCTTATTCTTAGTTCAGCTTTGGACCCTAGTGATTCTTTTAAATCATTTGATATTGATAAAATTTAAAGCCTTGCAGAGAGATTTTATCCTCAAGATTTCACTCCAAAAGAGTTACATATTTTGAGATGCCAGCTGAAACTTTACGAGGCAGACATTCCTCATCCTCCTGTACTTCAAAAAGTGGCTACACTCTCTGAATTATGTCGGGGGTTAGTTGAAACAAAAAGGTCCAAAAGATATTATTTGATTGATAGGTTGATCCGTCTTGTGCTAATTCTCCCTGTTTCTACGGCAACTACTGAACGAGCTTTTTCAGCTATGAAACTTGTTAAAACAGCTCTTCGCAACAAGATGGAGAATGAGTTTCTAGCAGCTTCTATGGTTGTCTACATTGAAAAAGAACTTGCTGACAATATCAATTCAGATGTAATAACAAAAGATTTCAATTCTCTCAAGGATCGCAAGGCACAACTTCAATAAGTACACTTTTAATTATGTTGTTGAACATATTTTTTAATGCATACTTTGCGTGGTTTATACTTTTATTTTATTTAATGTACACTATTAGCATGGTTTATATGATTTAATGCATAGTTTTATTTTAGTTAAAAAAATTAGCTAGCCCACCGGTTGAAAAATTCCTGGTACCGCCCTTGCACATATAATATAAAGAATGTTGTTTGGTGGCTAAAATATTTGAAAGGGCAAGAGAGCAACAAACTCTTGATTCGAATGAAGAGAGTATTTTAAAGATGAAAACAAGTTCCAAATAGGAATACCAACAGTCAATCAAGATGCTCTGATCAAGTAGAAGAAATAATAAAGTATATGCAATCTGCATATACATTCATGAAGGGGATAACATGCCATTGGAAATAGCCATGCCATGAGCTACAACCATTGAAGAGAAAGAACTCATGCTTTGTCAGAACTCATGTGCAAGAATGGAGAAAGAGGCATGTGCACAAAAGAGAAAATAAATACTCCCTTTGAGAAAACTAGTTTCAAGAAAGATTTTCAAGAAAGATTTTAATTGATACAGCTCAAAGTGGATTGAAACAGAATATCATGGATTGATACAGAATAAAGCAAAACACATTTTTAAAGCATGTATCAATCCAGGTGTATCAATCCATGTGTATGAATGCAACGTTTTAAAACATGTATCAATCCACATGAGTGTATGCATTGTTTTAAAACATGTATCAATCCAGATGTATCAATCCACATGAGTGTATGTAATGAATTTAAGTTTGGATTGCAAAGATGACGCTTTTGAATCTAGCATGTGCATTCAAACAGATTTAAACCAATACCTATACATTAGCAAAATACATTGGTTTTGTCATAAGAGAAGAGCCAAAATATAATCCTTACACTCCCTTGAAGATATTCTTGACCAGCACTCTGCCTCTGCCCGGGGCAGAGTGCATGATAGTGATAGCTTCACTGCCTCAAAGCTGAAATTGGAAGCAATGGCTTTCCCCAAAATGACCATTGGGAATTCTGCCCTCATGTTTTTTCTAAATCCTTATTCTTGCCTGGACTCTATGATTTCACGGATTTTCTGGATGCCTGCATAGCTGTCTATGCACACTGTGGAATAGGTGTCTGTCAAAATATTCTTTGTTGGCCCATTGATGTGGAAGTTATCGGCCCAATATCGCACGAAGGGGCCATTTGGATCCAATAATATGAAAACGGGTTGATAAAAGGCGCCGGAGGAGGAGGAGGAGGAAGAGCCAGAGGAGAAGGAGCCGGAGTGGAAGGAGCCAGAGAAGGAGCCGGAGTAAGAGGAGTTAGAGGAGGAGCCGAAGGTACTAGCGGAGATACCAGGGCTGGAGCATGATAGGCAATAGTTTTTTTAAATATTATTTTAACTCTCCTTCGGTTTTGCTGGAGAGGACATGAATGAATGAAGTGAATTTCCCTTTTCTCATTTTCTCCTTTTCTCTGTTTGCTGCAAGTTTCCTTTTCAGATCTAAGGTCCTAATATTTGACTTGTGTTTAAGCTTGCCTCCCTTGTGGATCTACTTGAGAAGCACTCTGCCTCTGCTAGGGGCAGAGTGCATGATGCTGCTAGCTTCAGTGCATTGAAGCTAAAACTGCAAGCTATGG